TATTATGACTCATAATTAATTCTAAAACATTGATACTTCAGCGATATTCTGGCCAGATTTGTCTCAAACTTTGCCTATCTCATTTTAATGTCCTTGATCACTTGATGTAACTATCTCTAATCATTTTATTATTTTACCAATGATCCAAAATCTTAAGATCACAAGTACATGCGATGTACCTGTTTTAGAGCACTGCTGTGATACACTCTTGTCATTGACTTAAATAATTGCAAAGTAATATGAAACGTTTTTTCAATCAGCAAATATCTGTATAGTATTTAAATGTCATGTTTTAATCTTAAAAATACATTAAAAATGGGCAGCTTATCCCTGGATTTGTTGACTTTTCGATGTCGTCTGTAAGTGGAAAGTTGTGTTACCTTTTATTTTTCGATTGACATTTGATATTTTGAGGACACTTGGTGAGGCTAGCGTGTCTTAAGTCCTACTTAATGGCTCATCAGTTATTGGATCTTATCGTGAGATTTGTACGACATTTACAAGTAGATTAAACATATAAATACAAGGTAGACTCTTATAGAATACTGACTTATTATATGTTCAAATTGTTCATGTAATAGGGGATCACGGTGGGTAAAATGCTGGCTCACTAGCCTGGGGGTCGAGTGTTCGATCCCTGCATTGCCCGAGAAAGTTCATCCAGATTTACAGTCGTGCTTCTCTCTTGTCAGTGATGCAGGACGGAGAACCTGACAAGGGCATCTGTCTAGTCATTCGGATGTGTCCTGTGTACACATTGGTGTGCACATAAAAGATCCCTTGACAGTTGGAATTCGATATAAGAGTAGACCATAGTGCCGTGTCCAGGCAAAATATCCCTCATAGCACACTGTATGGCTTATGTCCATCTTCATTAGCTCAGTTCGGGGTAGAACGTTAAACCCCATTTCATTATTCATTCTTCTGTTCATATAATACCATACTCACTGAGCCACCCTAGATCTCCATTGATGATTTTTAACATAATATACATCCTATTTTATTGGTAACTTTTCCCCAGTGTTGTGGGGTTGGGTGGTGTAATGGTCTGATGTGTGAATTCAGATAATAAGGTCTGTCGTTGAGTGATTTCCAGCTTGTAGGTGACAAAGAATAGGGTCACATGTCCAACCTCATGGGTTTTCTCTAGATCCTCTGATATCCTTCCATTGCTAAAGACCCTACGAATTATGTGAATTATTTTAAGAAAAATTTAACCATGTTAGTCCTGAAATGACCATTGTGCCAAGTAGACGTTTTACCCATTTATTGACTAAGACTCTTACTTAGACTGATGATTTAAACCGTGGTATTTTAATATAAATAACCTATGTCCTCTTCAAATATACTTTATACCATTGCTTATCTTATCATATTTATTTAATAAAAACTTCAGGAAGATTTATTTTTATGAGGGTCAGGGGCAAAAATCAATAATAAAAAAAGTAGATGCCTTGACTACTAAATAGGATTATTTTTGATGGGTTTATGGGTTGATTTACGAGACTCATTCACATAAAAATTCAACTCCAGTTCATCACTATAGTGATCCATATGTGTTTTTCATATTATGGTATTCAGATAATGTATGGATGTATGGGGTTTAAAGTCTGGTCAAAACAATGCAGCTAAATATATAAATTTGGTTGGAGCCATGGTGGCTCATTAATTTGGCAGTCCCACATTTAGTGTGAGGAAGTACATCAGGATTTTCCAGTCTGGTTTCCCATTGTAAGCCGTGCAGGTCAGAGAGACTGTCGAAGAATAATGTTCAATCATTAGGATGGGATTCAAATCAGAGGCGCTTAGATCACATCAGTATGGAAGTTAAAAATCCCATGATAGTTAGAATTGGATGAAGAGTGTGCGGAAACGCTGCTGTAAGGAAAAAGGGGTTTAATGTCCTATTTTCCTGCACCAATCGGGTTAATGAAGACAGAAAGACAGGCATAAATCCTGCAGTGTGCTATGAGTATGAGGGAAATTTAGTCTGGGCAGCAGCACTATGGCCTACAATAGGGGGTTTATCTTTAAACAGACTATAAGTTAAAATAGATAGTAATCAACTGGAGTTGACCTCTTTAACAATCTAATCTATATTTATCAGAATATAAGTGGAATCTGTTGAAGAATATTTGGATGATTAGTTGACCTTTGACCTGTGTAATTATGTTATTATACACCTGTATAAAAAACAACTGTTTATATTACACTGTAAGCTTATATATCACAGATTATCTTCTTTAAAGGGAAAGTTCACCAAATCAAAAAGTTAATGAATAACTACAAGCAATATTGTTAAGCTTCCCTAATATATTAAAAGGTATGTCAGGTGTTCTAGAGAGATGATATACTCTGCCTCATGCATGACCACCATCATATTTTTTTCAATTGTTTATACTTGCTAATAAAATAAATTGAAGAAATTTAGTATTTGAAGTAAGCAAAGCCAAAATTCTATGGACAGTGTAAGACAATATAGTAGATGATGGACAATGTAAGACAACATCCTATATGGAAAATATACAACAACATCCTATATGGGCAATATGAGACAAAATCCTCTATTTGGACAATATGAGACAAAATCCTTTATATGGACAATATAAAACAAATATGGACCAATATAAGACAAAATCATATGAAAAAATTGTATATGGACAATTCAAGATAAAATCCTATATGGGCTTCCAAAAATGGAACAAATAAAAGTTGAGACAAAACTATCCAATGCAAGATGCAACTTCTCAATATTTTAAGACAATGTTAGGAAAATGTCATTCTCTGTGGATTGATTGTTTTAGGATACATCATCACAAATAACCCCGCATGTTCTTATTGTTTTTGACAGTAAGCAAATTATTATTACATTTTACAACTTGTTTGTTTGTTCTTTGTTTTGATAATCGGTTTGGACTCATTTAATTCCCTAACATAAAGATTTGGTGGTGGGATGAGAAATGTGTAGGTTTATATAAACATGGCCTTAGTCCTATGTGTCATGTCTCTTGAAAGGAATAAGTAAATGAATAAAAATGGTAGAATTGAATATCAGCCTGTTGTGTTAAGTAAACAGAAAGGAAGCAGAGAATAAACCAAAGTAAACATAAACTGGCAGTTCGTAAGTAGTTCTTGATTTATGTTTGAGTTAAGCTGAACCCCTAAAGGCATAATAAACCATCACTTCCATCATAAACCATTGCCATATACATCTCACTAACTCTTTATATTAGTGTTGAATGGTTAACTCCAGTCTCCTGGTATGAAAAGCATGTCTGCTTGGATGTCCCCTGATATTATATACAATTATTTTCGTGTTGATACTTCTAAATACTCTTTGATATCCAGTCTCTGGTTTGTGATGATGATAAAGAACTGTGGTTTAACATTGATTATGTTATTATAATGGTATAAATGCCACATAATCTGTGGAGTTCTATGGTAGTGTTAATGCATTGTGTGGTATTACACTATAATGATAAAGAAATGTGATTTATTCCTTGATGAGAAACATGAATTATTAATAAAACAATCAACTATATGACAGAGTGTTTAATTGTTCTATAATCAATGCTCACCTGTAGTCCATCAAGTGCAAACTAGGTGTTGTAATTACAGGTACAACTCATTCATAAATTGTGTATCAAGCTGTTAGCAATTGGGGGTGGATGTCCGAATGGTTAGCACGTATGCGTTGCATTATAAGGTCTGTCATTGAGTCATTTAGCATGGTTTCAATTCCCTGGTTGTGCATGACATGGAGTAGGGTCATATGTCCAACCTCATGGGTTTTCACGGGATCCTCCGGTTTTCTCCCACTGTTAAAGACCCCTATGCGCAAGCAAATTATTGAAATAAAGTTGAACCATATGTTAGTATGGAAATGACCTGGTTTGTGTCGAGTGTATGTTAAACCCCATTTCTCTCTCTCTCTCTGTTAGCAATTAGGTATCTGGGAGAGGGGGAGGCGACCATAAGAAAGATCACATTAACTAGATCATATGCAGTATTTTACCACTTGAATTAAAATAATAAAATCAAGACTCCTAGGACATCCAGCCCTCCTGGAGACTATTTAGACTAATATTGTATCTAGTGGATCATTAGTCGTCAATAACTTGTAACAATGATTAGATTCTCCTGCCTAACTTTATTGCTTTTCTGTGGTTTCCTCCAAAGCTTCTTTCTGTGAAAATTGTCTATAACACAGACCAGCCCCTCCCCCCCCCCCCCCCCAATAATTGTGCTGCGGATACCCTTTTTTTTATCCAGGTTATTGCACGCAAGTAACTCTACAGTTTGATACAGTCACATAACTGGACGAGGCCTAATTTTAACATAGAAATGAGACTTCTAGAAGTAAAAAGTAGATTTTCAGAAGAAAAAAACCTGCTATGCACTATACTAATCCCTGGGTTAAGATCCTCCCCACCCAATTGCAAGAGTCGCGATTAGTTAACTGAGCAGTTGATCTTAAATATTTCATTCCATCTCTCTTCTGTTGTATCTATGGCAGATTATTAATTAACACGCCGAAATAGAGTTTTTCTCATATTCAACAGAATAATTTCACTAGCCAGAAATCGCTTAGAAAGTGTCTCCATCGATTTAGACTGTCCGGGGCTTCCTGGTCCTACTTGGCCCCTAGTCCCACGCCTAAAGTCCTAGGATGATAGCCCCCCCCCCCCCCCAAATCAAGAATTGCTTCTGCCACCCCTGTAGACTAAAGTGTACATTTGATAGACTGAAATGTATATATTTGAATGACTGAAATGTTTAATGAGACAAATGTGCATTTGACTACAGTGTAGATAAAAATGTGCACTACCTCGTCATTTATGTACATTTGCTAGACTTTTATGTCCATCTGCTAGACTTTTGTGCACTAGGCTGTAAGGAATTATTATAATGTACATTTAATAGTATTTTGTGTTCTTAAGTGATATATGTCTTTTGAAATGTTCTTTATTTGCTCAATAGATTAATTTTGTTTATTTCAGATATGGATGTTTAGTGTTGTGTGTGCGATATATTTCTATCTCTTTAGGTAAGTTTTATTTCATTAAAGGTGTATTTAAAGATGGGTTCCCAGAAAAGTATTTATCAGGGGGTTATTTCCAATAAAAATATGGCAATTTTGGTATATATGGAAAGTAGAGATATCCAATCTTACTAGAAAAATACTGGATTTCCCGAAAAACACTCATGGAGAGTATATAGGACAAAAATGTAAGGGTTCCCCTAATCAACAGCCCGACAATTAGGAATTTCTGCACGTGTGATGTCAATGGTCACACGCTAACATTGAGCGCTAGATGTACAAGTTGATAAACTTTATGAAGAGTTAGACGTACAACACTTTCTGAGATAAAAATGACGGAAAAAGATGCAGGTAGTGGATAATCCGAGAATTTAATTAGGATTCGATATTTGTAATAAATAGTAAGCGATTAAAGACAACATTGTCTTATGTATGCAATGAATTCTCCTCTGACTTCCAAGAGAGATAAGTCACGTGACTTAAACATGACCTGGTTTGATCAAATTTTTATAGCAGGGCATTACAATGTTTGAGAAGGATTTGAAGCAAAATTATGACAAATTAATAAGTTTGAATATGTTTTTAGTCCATATATACCATTAAATCACCTAGTTTGTACGCGGGAATGTATCTTTAACTCAGTGTTTGGGTCTTTGACCCAGTTATAAATCTCTGCATAGCGTTTAGAAGAACTTTCGGATTGTTCAAGCTCTGGTATGACTGGACTAGATGGAATGTCTCCAGGCCTTACAGGAAAGATTTTTTTAGTCATTTAGTTGGAAAGGGAAGAAAACAAGATTATAGGCAGTGCACATAACACTTTTAACTGCAGATAGACATGTGACTGTTCTGTTCAAAGAGGTAGAAACAAGTCTTTTCAAACAAGTCTTTCTTTGAAATGACTTCATTTTTGAAAAAGTGCTTTGTTTAAAGGAGGTAAATCGCTAATATTTGGGACCTAGAAATTGACACAAATGGGTAGCAACGCATATAATAATGTAATATAAATATATATAAACGGATTTACATCCAATCATTTCCGTTTTTACTGTAATTTCAAATCAGTTATGTTTGACGAAATACGCCAGAAGTCTCAATCGAATGGCAATCTCTAGCATCTGGTTATTCAAGACTACATCGATAGTATTTATTGTGCTTGCTCTCCAGATAAGAATATGGTGTCACCGTTTGAATATGTCTAGCCTCATGCTTCGAGTCCCTTGTTACAAATGGCGCTGAAATGCATTATGGTACACGATTTGTGTACCAATGGTAAAATGTTTATTTTGTCTTAAATATTGGATATCAGAAGCCCATCTTTTCCCGGTAAGATCATGACATCAATGTTGATTGATTTAAATTGACAAATAATTTGTGTTTTCAATGTCAAATTTTGGATAATATTGAGTTAGAGACTTAGCTATTTAAAAGGTCCAATTTCGACCTTCTGTGGACAGTTACCTGAAATTAAAGGAGGGGTAGGAGGACTGTTCCTATCCAGGAAGAACTCTCTTTAATATTGTATATTTTACTACATTTTGTTTCATATTTGATAGAAAGAACTTTGTAATCATTTTAATCCATTTACGCAACTGATGTTAACATTAAGCTTGAATGCTTTTATTCAGATAGTTTCTTCTTAATTCTGCACGACTGTTTCCACCAAGCTAAAATTGTTTTAAGAAATGAAAGCTGCTGTTTTTAGATGGCACGTCAATTCTCATGATGGGAGAACGGTTGAATAATTTGCACATGGTTTAAATTTGTTCAATCAATTGAAAGAACTGCCAGGGTTGATTTGAGAAATAAATCTTGAACTCATGAAGATTTTATTCAACTGATGGGTGGCATCGCAAAATGTCTGACTCAGTGATAAGATGCTTTAAGGTTTGCTTAATTTGTCAGTTATGCCAAAAATTGTCTGATAAATTGTCGATATATGGAACACCGTGGAGATGCGATGCTTGATCTTAGATGGTTAATTAACGATTAAACATGTTTGTACATGTGCATCGGTTTTCATGCCAGATTCGGAACCCAAAACTGCAAAAACTGACAAGCCCACAGATGATGTTTTTTACATTATTGTGACCTTGTCAATCAAATTTATTTGTCATTTCATCTATTGGTTTATTTTTGGTGTTATTAGATAATCGTGTTTTTCTTCAAATAAACAAAAAACAGATCCTATAAAGAACACCATTTTGATTAAAGTCTTTGAGACGTCAAGTAATTCTAATTACACATATTCTTTCTATTTTAAATTAAATCTTTCCATAAAGAAAATAAACTCTTTATAATTATATTAATTCTCATAATAAAATTCTGAATGTCTTTCCCCACGATTTTCTTCTTTAGTGATAGGAAAGAACTAGGCAGAAGAAAATAGCAATTACTTTTAAAAAAACAAAACTGACATATCAGTTTCTAGACTAAATATTTTTTCAGTTGCCTTTCAATTTTCAATAGTAAAACCAAGAAAGAAGAAGAAAATAAACAATCTGAAAACTAATAAAGTTAAACGTCAAAAAAAAAACAACTGTTGATTGATTCAACATCCAACAACTGCTTCTGTCAAAATGAAATAATCGTTTAGTATTACTAATTAAATGGTGATTTAAATTTGATAGACGATGATTGAACTTCTATCTTATTTCACACTTTTACTATCAGAATAAAAACAAAGAATTCTTCATAAAATATATACAGTTTGTGAAATTTTGGGTTGAACAAATTTAATATTTTTGTTTTAAATAGAATTATTTCTCTAGGAATCTAATCAATTAGTCTCTAAATAACCAAGGAGGTGGGTGAGCAAGAAGGAATTTTAAAACTCTGTTCTGTACCCAATAATGATGAACTAATTTAATTAATGGACTATAGAAGACTAGTAATTGTGACCTCTGATATCATGACAGCCGAGGTCTATTTATGCTAGGAATAACTCCTTTTTCCCCAGTTTTCAATATTGTTATCAGCAGATTGTAAAATATTAGGCTCTTTGTGGTTATAAAGATTAATATCATCAGAATGTTATAGGCCAAGAAATGTCATGGATTTAACATTGAAGTCAATGGTGGAGAGAATTACAGATCATAGTCCAAATACAGAAATTCTACTTCCCCTATTCCATGCACCTTGGTTCGAAATTAGAAAAATCATAAGTTTGATGTTATTGGTCCAGAAGATCAATGATAATATATGACGTGACCCAGGTCATGAAAATTGTACTCTAGTTACAACTTCGGTACAGATTCCAAACTCATTTTCTTGATAATTATTTCCTTCCAGACTTTTTTATAACACTCTGCCAATCATGTGACCTATGAATTGCACACTGGGGAAATTCTTGTCAAAGATTTCATACCAATGGTGATTTCCCAGTTGAATTTCACAGAAATAGTTTAAGATTCTTTTTCCGAGGTTTTACATTACAAAAGTATAAAAGCAAATCAAATCAACTACCAAATTAAATCATATTGTATAATCATTTATTGACCCAAAAGATAAATAATACTAAAAGTATAGATATAGAAATGAAATGAAATAGGGTACAACATCTTACCTTTCTGCACCACCCTACCTAATGAAGATGGGCATGTGCCATAATGTAGTGTGCTCTGCTTGAACAGCGGCACTACAACATGCTCTTATTTAGAATTCCAACTGTTGATGGTTCTTTTACGTGCGCGTTAACATGATACAGGACTTAGGATTTTCATTACATCTAGATGCTATTCTTTAACTTATTCTCCATCTTACACCACTGAGGGGAAACAATGCTGGAGAATCCTGCGGAACTTTCTCCTCCATTACCAGGATCAAATCTTGAGCTTCTGACTATGTTAGTGAGCTACATGTATCCGATATAGACAATATCTTTTAAAACGTTTAAAATTTAATGTCTTCTAATAGAGAAAGAGATCACCTATGTATGTACATTTAGATATACTGTGGATGAAAAGAACAATTAATAGGATTTGATGTGGCAGGTGTAACATAACAGATTTATGACAAAAACAGGACACAAAACAACAAGAAGGTGGAGAAAAACTGATATGATTAATCAGAACTGGTAAAAAGTTAGACATGTCATACCCATAATTCTGTCACTGTTGGTGTAATGGAGCTGATATATATAAGGCCATATAAAAAAATATCATGGTACTCAGATATACTCCTGCATCACTTAAATAGGGCCCCATGTAATAAAAATAAAAATGGACCCATTTATTACTGCACAGATATTCTTTACCCTAGTTCCAGTGTATTGTAGCCTCAATTATCAAAGTAAACAACCCTAATAAATGTTATTGACAGTAATAATATAATGATACTGGATAATCAAACACATTTCTATAAACAAGGGGATGAGATAAATTAGTGCCTTGAAATGTGATCTTTATGAGAAATCATTTAGAGTAGTAGTGATTCTATGACTAAGTACAAAAATACACCTCCCTCCCACATCATATTTTTGAACAAAACTTTTTTTATTGTCCGATAACAAGATTTTTTTTCTTTTATGGCCTAATGGCAGTAAGAGGTCAGTAACCTAACCACCCCCTTCTTTATATCCAAAAACACTTTTATTTATCTTGAAGCAACTTGCTGCAAGGAAAGAACAACAAGCCACATCTGACCATTTGCCGTTTGCTAAATGTTAACATCTTTTGTAGTTTATAGAGTAAGGAGAAAGAGGACATTGATACTTGTCAGAGTAACCGAATCCTCCATCTTGACATAAAAAATAAACTCATTTTACTAATGAAGTCAGAGATAGATAGAAATGGTTTTTAACATTCAGTCCAAACAAAATAGGTCATTTGAGGACTAACTTTTTTATTTCAATAATTCACTTGCATGCAGATTTATTTCTCAGTGGCAGGTTAGGCAGACAATTCAACTCATCACATACAAACCTGGGATCAAAACCAAGACATCAATGACAGACATTAATTATAGCTGTTCAAAGTTGTTTTTTTTAAGACACAGTAGTGTTACAT